ACATACCTGCAGCAGCTTCAACAAACCTGCAGATATGGCTGAATGCCAAGTTATTCTGACAGGCAATTCTCCAACAGTGTCTTATAGTGCCCACACTTGCCTGCCCCTTCCTATCTGGCACATTCCTATTGGCTAGTGAGGCAGACCAGCATAGTGATAAACCAATAGGAATATGAGGGGGTGGGTCTTATCAGAAAGCTCTAACACTACCTGGGAGTGTCAGCTTTGCCTCTGAGAACACGCCACCATTTGGCCAGATCTGACTTTTTGCAGTTGCCTTCAGTTTGCGCTTTAAAATACTTTGTCTCTAGAGGAAAAAAAAAAGTGGATAAGAAACTGCAGTAAGTACAATGTCTCTATGTGGGCCACTTGAGCAATTAGTGAGGTGATCATATACCCCCTTAATAAACTTGGTAAATCTTTCCTGATAGGTCTTCCATGACCTTTATTATTTAGTTGCCTTCTCTGGACCTTCTTTAGTTTTACAACATCCTTTTTGTAAAGTAGTGATCAAAACTGAACTGTATAATCAAGGGTGCGGTTTTACTAACGCTAATGTTAAACTCAAGACTTGGTGTGAATGACCAAAAGAGTGTCTGTAGACATTGCATGGCTGTTTGGGTTTTTTTGTTTTTCATCCGGCCACTTTTTGGCTGGTTCAGCACTCCATGTGCATCCTTGTTCCAGGTCAATGACAGAGAAGGTACTATTCTATCTTCATAACAGTGTAGCAGTTAGCATCTTCAGAAGGATAATTCAGCAAGGGAAGTCTCCATACTTCTTCCGTACAGGATTTCTTTAAACATGAACAGTCTTTTAGGATTTGTGTTTAGGAATTGGATCCAGACAGAGGAACATGAGGGTAGTCAGAACATGCTTACATGCTCATATTAACTTAAATGGCCAGTAAACACATTATCAGTTGTTGTATATAAGTCAGAGCTTCAAAAATTACAGATACAAATTGGGTAACAAATATTGAATCCTCAAGTTTTATATTTAAAGTATGTCCAGAAAAAAAATAGCCCACTGCCAATGCATAGAAAAGGAGGTCAGGTACACTTTTTTTTATTCAGTCATTTCAACCCGTTTATAACCACTACTTTGTCATGAGCAGCCCTTCTTGTATATATCATCTCAGCTGTCTAGAAGCCTTACATATGTGACCTGACGGATTCTCGGGGCTCTTTCTTTTCCACTCTGTCTGTTGCTGGGTGAAAAGAATGAGTGCTGAAAGAACAGTAATAAAAAAAAAAAAAGGTACAAGTGCTGACTGTGTTTTGGGGCACCCGGTTAGTAAGAAACGCACCCAAATTTAGTTAGTGGCTTGTGTGAGCAGATGTTTTGTTTGTTTTATGCTATGCACTTGCTTTACAAAGCCCTCCTGCATTAGGACTGTTTGTTTGCTGCCTTGGACTGTTCCTGGGGGTCCCATACTCATGCATGGTTTACCATAAGCCTGCATTCACACCTGAGCGACCTGAAACATGTGCTTTTTCAGCACTTTTTTGTGTGGTTTTTTTTTGTGTTTGTTTGGTTGTTTGGTTGTTTTTTGCAGTTTTGTTTTATACGTGTGTTGTACATGCATATGTAAAGTCATGCGTTTTTAATAAGTTTAAATTGTGGCACATTGATGTGAATGGACAGATGCATGTAAAGATATGCAAAAACATGGCAAACATGCGTTCGAGTGTTTCTATTGAAGTATGTGGGGCCAAGAAGCGCAGAATTTGTCAAAGAAGCTCATGTACTTTCTTCAAGCGAAAGGTGTTTTGCTACAAGCGACATGACACTCAGATTGGAACATGGCCATAGAAATACTTTTACTTTTACTTATTTATATACTCCTTTTTTTTAGAGCAGAAAAAGCGCTACAAAATCCTCAGGGTGAATATGGGGTTAGGGCCTTTCCCCATAGTTCTCGTTGGGGTAACGGGAGAATACAAACTAGCATCCTCCCGTCACCCTAAGCTCAGTATACCGCGAGCTGCAGCTCGCGGTATACTGAGACGCTGAAGCAGATCCCAACAATTATGTCTGGATCCGCCCAGCTGCGTGAGTGACAGCTGCCTCTGCCTATCTAGAGGCAGAGCCAGCTGTACCCGCCCCCTGCCCCGTCTGTTCCGCCAGTCAGCGCTGGAGGATCGGAGCCGGGAGGGGGGAATCCAGCCCCTGCCCAGTCACGGCAGAGAGCCGTGACAGGATCGAGAAGTGAGCGAACGCCGGTATGTGTTCGCTCACTTCCCGATCTACTGAGCCGACCTGTGACAGTCTCATTGTCACAGGTCGGCTAGAACTATGAGGTGAGTGAAAAGCACTCAGCTCATAGTTCTCCTTTAATGATACCAATTGAATCTGTACCCCTTACAACAGAGTATTTTTTTAAATTGACCCATGTTTTACACTTCTAGAATTGGACTGAACAAAATCCTGCAGCATATGGACAGCTTTGACGGGTGGTGGGATTGACTTGGCCTACATGTGCAATGTAGTGAAACAAAGTAACTTATGGGGTGAGTGAAATACACTGAAGCTGTCACAGGTCGGCTCTATTGATCGGGAAGTCAGTGAATACATACTGCTGATTGCTGCGTTCCCGAGCCTCTCCCTGCAGGGGGTGGTCACTGCTCCTCGCAGGAATTCCCCCCCTCCCCTCTCCAGCAGGGTGGATCCTGACAATATCATTGGGATCCGTCCCGACTGTGGCGCAGCTCTGTGCTCTCAGCATATAGCAGGCAATGGCCCGCTATATACGGAGTTTTGGGTCTCCAAAGGACATTAGTGTATGTCCTCCTGGGAAGAGAAATTTTTGCAAAAAAAAAGTTAGGCAATGGTTCTCTTTTAATTACGGTCACTCTTAATTTTTCATATTACACCCATATTTAGAGTATAACATGAAACATGGTTGCATTCCCCAACCCCCACCCTCAAACTGTCCAATCCCCCCCACACACACATACTTACCTGAATAGTGGGGTGCGGGTGCTTCTCTCTGTAGCCTTTTTGTTTTGGTTGCCTACGTCCAAGGGCGTGCATCCGTACGGATGTGCAAGTTCGGGTCATTGTGTAGCCACATCCTGTCATTGAGTTGTACAGACGTGTGTGTGTTTTGGCATTGCTGCATATAGACTGACAGTTTTGGACACTGATAGGCGGACACTGATCAATGCAGATAGACATCCATTAGCTGACATCAAAGGTGACACAGATACACAGAAATGGGGAGCCATACATGGATAGACACTTGCTGGCAGGGTTAAAAATGTGGGAGGTGGAGCTTGACTATAGTGGAGTTTAGTGCAAACCTGGCATGAAAAAAACATTGAGGCTGCCATTTGTTATCTTCACTCCCATGTCAAATATGTGTTCACTCGAAAAATACTTTACTTTTCCTTTTTAGCACCATTTGAAGCAAGAAGAGCATCATGATGTGACCTGTATGGTTAATTGGTGGGGGAGCATGCTAGCTATGTACAAGAGTGCATGATAATAAAGGATGGACCCTACAGGTAGCTGCACAATGCTGCACTCTATTTGATTCAGTTGAAGTGTGTAGAAAATAGCAGAAGGCATCAACACAAACCAAACTACTTCATGTGACTGTAAACCAATGTAATTCCTTTTTATCTTTTTACTTTATTTCTACTTGTGACAAAAATCTAAGCTTACATTATGTAGAGAGCTAACATTTTTCCTAAACTGCATGTACTTAAAGTGACTCTGTTGGAAACAAATGCCAAAATAAAAGGTTTACTTGCAAGGAAGAAACTAAAAACTTTCATTTTCTGCTGCCTGCACCAGCGCACACCATGCCAGTGAAGAGCGTTTTTTCTCCGAGTGATGATTTCCTGTGTTCTGTTATGTACTTAAAGGAGAACTATGGGGGTCAGTGCTTTTCCCCATAGTTCTCCTAAGCGTAACGGGAGGACACAAACTAGCGTCCTCCCGTCACCCGAAGCTCAGTATACCGCGAGCTACAGCTCACGGTATACTGAGACGCAGCAGCCGGAACGGATCCCGACAATGCTGTCGATTATCCACCCAGCTGCGTGAGTGACAGCTGGCTCTGCCTATCTAGAGGGAGAGACAGCTGTACCTGCCCCCTCCCCTGTCCGTTCTGGCAGTCAGCGCTGGAGGATCGGACAAGGGGGGGATCCCTGCAGGGAGCCGTGAGTGACGATGCACGGTTAAATCGAAGTGAGCGAGTGATGGTATGTGTTCGCTCACTTCCCGATCTACTGAGCCGACCTGTGACAGTTTCATTGTCACAGGTCGGCTCAGATTATGAGGCTGGGTGAAAATCACACGCCTCATAATTCTCCAAGTTTGTGTATAGTCAAAACCTACCCTTTGTTTTTCTCATGAGAAGAAAAAATACTTGCCTCAGACACCTGCTTCCCATCGCTTCCTGAAGGCGTCAATTATGTCATAAATGGAGTACCCAACTCAACTCCATCAAAGTTTAAAAAGGTTTAATGGAAGATAGGTTGGCAAATACAGTACATCATACCTGAACCAGGTCAGTGTCTCTGGATACACTGAACAATTGGATAAGCAAGGGAACTAGTGTATTCAGAAGGGAAGATCAGCTTTTGCATGAATTCTCATACTTGCATTAACTTCTCTCCTTTTTTTTTTTTTTGAGACTTGTCACTCACCAGCTGCTTTACTATAAATGGAGCAACATGTAATCTATCCAACTGATTGATTGTATCACAGTAAAACAGTATGAAGGGCTTGTGTGCTATGCAGTATCCTATGGCATCCTGTAAAATAGTCTCTTACCTGATCTGACCAATCTAATTTAAAAATCTGATTGACTTCTATGCATTGCTGCCCTTTTGCACTTGCATTGCTTACTGCAGTGCCTTACTGAATAGGTCTTTAAGACTCCCCCTTTTTTTTTGAGGGGGGGGGGGGGAATCTTCTCCTCCTCTGTGTACCTTTTTATGTTTTAAGGCATACTGATTCTTTGTTTTCCATTTATGTCTTCTGTCTAGGGAGCAACCCATCTTCAGCACCAAAGCCCATGTCTTCCAGATTGATCCAAACACAAAGAAGAACTGGGTCCCTACCAGCAAACATGCAGTTACTGTGTCCTATTTTTATGATAGCACAAGGAATGTCTACAGGATAATTAGTCTGGATGGGTCGAAGGTAAGGTAGCCTGCCATAATTTTTGTAGCGTTTGGGTAAATCATGGCTTGGCAATGCTACATGCTGTAATAGTTTGTGGGGTCAGTGGGGCATTGCCAAATGCAACTGTGGTATATGTACATATTGTCATTACAGACCCTAGACTCGGCCCATGGGTCAATAACTTCCCTGATCACTATATTCACCACCTAAAAGTTGTTTTGTGTTCATAAAATGTCTGTCCATGATGTAGAATTCAAAGTTCTATTGGTCAATCAGTATTTTGAGTACCCTTAATAAGGTGAAGTAAGCAGGGGAGTGAGGTCCACCTATTAAATTCCCTCTTAGATGAAGTACCGTAGGAAGGAAAGTGGATTGAAAAACTCCCTGGATTTTTGTCTGTGAGAGCTTACAATCTAAAAGGGAGGGGCAAGAGATACATGAGGAGGTAGCTGTGTGGGGATGAATTGTTTGAGAAAGTGATGGTTCAGTGGTTTGTTTGAGGTGGGATAGGCTTCTATGAAGAGATGAGTCTTTTATTGGTTGCCTAAAGGCAGTCAGAGTAGGAGAAAGATGGACAGGTTGGGGTAAGGAGTTCCAGAGAATGGGAGAGACTCTAGAGAAATCCTGGAGGCATGTGTGGGAGGAGTTGACGAGGGAGCTAGATAGCAGGAGGTCTTTGTAAGAGCACAGGGGACGGTTAGGGTGATACTTTGAGACAAGGTTTGAGATCTAACCAGGGGCAGAGTTGTGGATGGCTTTGTAAGTGATTGTTAATATTTAGAATTTTATTGTTTAGGCGATGGAAGCCAATGCAGGGATTGGCAGAGGGGGTTGCAGATACTGAACGGTTGGTTAGGTGGATGGATCTGGCAGCAGCATTCATTATAGCCTGAAGGGGGGAAGGAGCCTGTGTAGATGTAGGTCAATGAGAAAGGAGTTGCAATAATTAAGACGAGAGATAACAAGTAAGTGGATGAGTAATTTTGCGGTTTCATTGGTGAGGAAGGGGCATATTTTGGAGATGTTACGGAGGTGAAGGCAGCAGGATTTGGATAGTGATTAGACGTGGGGAAGAAAGGTGAGGTCCGAGTCAAGGATGACACCTAGGACCTTGGCATGAGGGGAGGGCTGGATAGTTGTGTTATTAATCTCAAGGGAAAAGTTGGGGGAAGGTGCACGGGCAGGAGGAAATATAATGATTTCAGTTTTTAAAAGATTGAGTTTTAAGTGTTGTGACATTTAGACTAATATGTCAGTTAGTAAATTAGTGGCACGCAAGGACACTGAGGGCGTGAGTTGTGGAAATATATATATATTTGAGTGTCATCGGCATGGAGATGGTATTGGAAGCCATGTGATGTATCATTTTTTTGGTAGCATTGACTACCTATCTCCTGGGATTTGTCCAGTCCTGCCCTACCTCTTCAACAAAAACAGCATGAAGATGTAATTTCCTCACAGATTCCCCAGTTTATCTACAAAACAGAGGACCATCCAATGGACTATAACTATTGTATTGTAGTGTATTGATTGTAGGAGATGAGTAAAACTGAATGTCACCAGTTGAGTTAACAAGAGACATGAGACCAGCATATATTTCAGCTTGCCGGCTATCATTCATAACAGAAATATATATTTATTTTTAGGTGTAGATACCATTTATTCATTTCAGAATAGAAGATTTATTTAAATTACGAAAATGTAATTGAACCCCTAAGTCTTCTTACTCTGACATCTACTTCAGATCTTTCATATCTATACAGTTAATTGTAAAGCCATGAAAACCCTTGACAGCACCAAGTTCTGACATCTAAACTTTGAAGCCCTGACACCATCACATTTATTTTCCTTAAGAAAACTGCTATTTTGATGATGCTGCGCATCAGCTTCAAGGCTGACTCATTTATA